CTATCTGTTTTTCGGCGACTCCTTCAATGCATTGGTCAAAGATGGAGCAAAGACAGATGTTGGCACCATCATCAAGGAGAATAAGCGGACGCTATTTGGGCACAAGCACGAGGTCTGGTCCGAAATGACATGGGGCAAAGGACTGGCGGAATCTCTTGATGCCGCTGAGCGGGCAATGCTAAAGCTCGCCGAAAGGCCTGAGCCCCGGCCGTACGTCATCGTGATCTCCTGGTCTGGAAATGATGTTGTCGGTCGTAACGGTTACATCGACAACCCCGCCGCCCTAGCGGGCTGGGCCACTGACTCCGAGGCAAAGCGGAAGGCTGCGATGGACATCATCGAAAGGAACGCCCGAGCAGTGATGACTGTCCGTGACCGGCTACGCCATATTGCTTTCCGGGAAGACGTGGTCCAGGTCGTGCTCATCGTACCTCGGGACTTTGAGACGTATGGATTGAGTGAATCTTATAAGACTCAAATGGACGGTCATGCACGTTTGTTGCATGGTTCCGCGGGAATCACCGTCCTCGACCCCCAGACTCTCATATCCAACACGTCCCGGGCAGACCGCATCCACACCGATGACACCGAGCGCAACAGGAAACACTACATCAATTACTATGTGGCCGCCGCGAAGCTCGGGTACTGCATTGGCCAAATCAACCGCTTCGAAATGGCGATGAATTGGTACCGCCTCGAAAGGGAATACATGAATATTGACACATCAATCCCGATCGTTGGCGCTACACCCCAGGAAACTGGCGGTCCGGCAATTGCAAAGAACCCTGAGGACCCGTTCGACAATGAGGTCCGTGAGAGGGAGTTGGAGGCGATCAACCAAATCGCCGCGCAAGAGCCGAAGCGCGAGGTTTTCCTGGAGACTGAAAAGGAGGCAAACCCCCTCTACCCCCTTGACACCGTCAAGGAGGAAGCAAAGATCTTGCAGATGATGCAGCCCGACATTCACGCGGCGACCGTCAGCGGCCTCAACGATGTGATTGATTGGTCTTCTTCTTCGGATGAGGAGGACCTGATCAGCTTCGACCTGCCCCCTGGCTCTCAGCCTAAGGTCAGCCGGCCGAAAGGCCAGGCCGTTGAGGTTGCCGCAGTGGATCCGAGCGACATCGGTGAGGACGGCCAAATCAAGCTCATCCTCACTTCCAAGCGGAAAAGTCATAACAAAATGACTGCAGCTCTCAGTGCTGCGACACCAAAGGTGAAATCAAAGGCAATGCCAATGCCTGCTGCCTCATCCAGCGATCAGGCGTCCGTGGCTGGGACCAGCAAGACTCAGCCCGGAGAGATCCGTGGCCCGGAGATCACCCCCAAGGCGAAGGCAGTTTCCAAAGCTGCTGGAAAGCCCGGGGAGACCCGTGGCCAGGCTGCTGAACCCAAGAGGGAGTGGATCAAGTGCTCAGGAATCAAGATTCCCCAGATCCAGAACTATGGCAGAAGGACGTTCTTGAGCAAGAAGGTGTCGTATTTGGTTCGCGGACATGCCCACGAACATGCGACGCGATCCATCCCTGAGATCAATCTCAAGGACAACTCCTTCGACTACGCAGCCGTCGCCAAATGGATCCAACGTCGATATGACTGGAACTGCTCCCAATACACTCTTCTTCAGGCCACGTCCACATCGAATCGGTTCGAGGTCTATGTCGAGTACGCGCCGGCCGGGCAGCAATGGAACGGGCTCAGTTTCATGCCACTACGCATTCGCGCGTTCACCGGCCACAACGATTGGGTGACCGAGGCCAGCGGCTTTGACAATATTCCTGGAGATCCCATTGCAATGGATGTCAATTACACCATTGAGCACGCAAAGAAGGGTGTGCGACCGGGCTTCTGCAAAGATTTCTCGGACGCACGCCGAAAGGCGCTGCCCAAAATCGCCTACCACACGTGCAACATGCAGAATTTCTTTGACATCATCTACATGGGCATCTTTCCGGGCGGAATGGGAGACCGGCAAACCTCGCGTGGTCACGCCTACCTGACGGTAGTGCCTCCTTGGGACAGGCATGGCCGGAAGGCGGGGGGTGCGCGTGCTGACCGACCCATCAACATCGCCGTCGATGTGGAGATGTTGATCCAATTGGGATGTCGGCTGTACGCACCCGGAGACGGGGAAGCCCTGGTGACGGAGGATTGGATCACGAACAAGGTCCTCATTTACGCCTATGACGCTGAATGTGCAAAGTTTATCTGGTCCAACCGGATGTACGTCAGCGTCAGACGGAACTACCAGGACAGCATCAAGAAGTATCGGGAAGAGACCCAGAAGGGCGTTGTCGGGACCCCAGTGCTGGAGTCGTTCATGGCGAAGGCTGAGAAGGAGTGCAAGCTCTATTACAAACAGTGGGCTCCGACAGCGTGCCGCGACATGACGCGGCCCCACCGCATTGGCAATGTGACGAAGGTCAGGGACGTCTACGACGAGAACCTCCCGAAAGAAGAGCAGGTCGTGCTTGAATTCGAGACCGCCCGCTATGGCCTCTACAGGAACTGGGCCCGAGCTGTGACGCAGCAGCCCGGGGAAACCCGAGGCCGGAGTGGTTTGTGGCAGGACTTGGATCCCAACAAGCAGAAGTCGACAAATTGGCGCTTCGCGGAGGTCATGCACATCCCCGACGTTGAGTGCCCTCGCTGCAAAATCCTCATCCCGGTCGGCACCATCAACTGTTTTCAGTGTGACCAGCTGATGGAACGCATGCCCGATATCAAGAAAATAGCCAGGGTCGTCCGTTTGCAGGAGATGGCCAACAGCTTGGGCGTGCCGCTTTCCATGGACCAGGTTGAGACTCAGATATTGACGCAGCGGAAGGATGCACGGGGAGATCGAAGCGCAAGAGGGGGCCTCGGCATCATGAAGGACATCGCCAAGAAAGCGGTTCTTCGCAACAAGGAGTACACCACGCTGTACGAGAGGCTGATCAATGACCCCTTCTACGCCTACACTGCCGCACGGGGAGACCTGACGCCGTCCGCCCTCGAGTTCATCGAGAAGGTGGCACGATGCATTATTCCGAGTTTCGTGAGAACCAAGGAAATGATCCAAGGAAGCGTTGCTGTGCCGAAATATCACGCACGGCTAACGCTGGTGCCGCCAACGGAGGACGTGCAGGAGGTCGATCCGAAGGACGTCTATGTTGTGCATGGTGGCAGATTTCTGGAACCAGAACAATTTGCTGCATTGTATGGAAGCCTTGACAAGAGCAACCGCTACCCCGTGATGGGCTGGACCCGGGATTTCTCGTCTGTGGGAGACCCCGAAATGGTATTGGTTGAGTTGCTCTGCTTCGTCGAAGAGGAGATCCCCAGCATCGAGATCCCTGGACGAGCCACCCCGCTCCCTGCAGTTGTCGGTGTGACGCGCAAGCCCATTCCGCAGCTCCGGGAGACCGGTGGCCAATGGCAAGATCGTCAATGGAGCCAGTCGTACTGGGGAAGCTGGGGCCAATCCTGGGACTCGTGGTGGTCTGATGATCAGCGCCCGTGGAAGAGCTCCCGCAATTGGGATTGGCGATGAATGAGCGATCTCTTCAACAATCTTTTCAATCTTCGGCTGACATCCATTTACATTTCAAATTCAATATTCATTATACTTCTCAATCATGTTGGCCGAGGATCAATGTACAGTGCATGAGCACGCCTCGCGAGAGCGACGGTCAGTGGAGGCGGAAGACCTTAACTGCCGATTGCTCGCATCCAAGTGCTTGTGTGCTGCAAAAGGACTTCATGCCTATCGGGTTTCTTTGGTTGTTTCATCCCTTTCATTTGTCCTCCTGTTTCACGTTCGGGCACGGGGGGTGTAGTTTGCAACGTGATGTATTTATCAACCATGTAAAACCCCAATGCATGAATGTCTCACTTGTGCAGTCTCATCATTGCGACTGCATATGGCTCAAGGAAAAAGCGCGCTGTGTACAGGGTTCAATTGTGACCCTTCCCGGTTGTTTAACCTGTTCTATAGAGGGGTTAACGCCTTGGAAGCCCGACATCCCCGACATAGGTGACCATTGGGCTTTCCAAAAGGCTTAACGTATTGACCCCAAAACACTGAGAACCTTGTACAACCAGAACCCAAACGGGAGGCTCAATGCCAAGAGCAGACTCCTCTGCTCTGATATTGTTGTTTGGTTCAGGTGTCATTTGAAGTTTCAGGAATCCCCTTCAAAACAGGGCTTCATAAAAGATACATTTTGCCCATCTGAAAATGTTTTTTTCCACCAAAATAAAGGGAAACCACCATTTACAGGGCAATGTCCAGGTGTATAATGTAAGGATCCCTGTCAAAAGTTGGGCAGCTTCAAACTTCCGGAAACGCAGCGTTAGGGACGAGGGTCTCACGCAGGAAGCCTCACACATGAGTCTTCCTTGCGTGGGCACGTCGAATGTGAAGCATGTTTGTAGATAGCCCTCAGATAGGTTTTATTGGTTCTTTGCAGGTTGCTGGTAAGGACAGGGGCGGGTCCCGGTACTTGGTTGGGAGTAATGTTGACCCCATATCAACCAACCCCAGTTTGTGGGGTGTGGGCCCCTCCAAAAAAGGTCTGACTCCCCATATTTCACCCAGGGAAAAGCACCCCCCCTATTTACAAACTGGTTGGTTGATAAATTTCTTGGTCAACATTACCCAGTTATCAACCATCCTGGATTCCCTTCTACGGGCTCTCAAAATCAAGACATGACTTTTCTTCCGATCCGGGAAGGTCCCTGGTTGGCTTCCCTGGTTGGCTTCCCTGATTCGGTTGAAAAATAGAGGGCGGTTCCTGGTTTGTCTGGTGGTTTTATCAACTACCAGGGTCATCGAGTTTGACCCAAAAGGACACTTTCTGTGGATGGACGAGATCCTGCACCACCTAAGAAATCCTGCAATGATGATGGCCCTGTAAATACCAACGAACTATGGTTTCTCATGGTTTCAAAGTGGTGCGAAATGGATTTCGTGCGTCCACAGTATGTTTGGGCGTTAAAAAACAAAAAAACTTCCCCAGGAGGAGGTGGAGGTGCTGACCACCAAGTTGGCGCGCTTCCAGGCCGGGGGGAGCTCTCGTTGGCTCGTGGTTTCTTCGAGAGGGTTCCAAGGGGAAACCAACTGGAACGACAAGCGTTCTGGGGGGGTCAACAGAAAACGACAGATCCATTTGCAGATCCTTCATCAGCTGTTGAAAAATCCGATTGGTTGAGTGGCAAACGACAGGAACGCGTAGGCTTGTTTTTAGGTTAGTTTGGTTAAAATAGATGGGTTCCACTGGTTTAGATGGGTTTTCTTCCATTTACCAGGGTGTTAACTTGCACGAGCTCAGGCCTTTTTTGCAATCCACAGCAAGAAGCGTTCCACGCTTCCCAAAACGGCTGTGAGTGCAGGTTGCAGGAACGAAGCGCTCTCGATCAAACTGGGGCATGAAAACGGCGGCTCACTTGGGGCAATAGCAGCCCCCAAGTGAGCTGTCGTGTTCATGCCCCAGTTTGATCAAACACGTTTCGTTTCTGCAACCTGTACTCACAACCGTTGTTGGAAGCCCGGAACGCATCTTGCTGCGACAAGGCCTTGCAGCAAGGTCGGGAACCGAGCTCGACTTTCCAAACCCAGGGTTGAAATTGAACAAAGTTGGGCTAACGTCAGTTTCTGCGCACCCGTAGCGCCATATGAAGAAATTCGGTTCATTTGTTGAGACCCCGTAAATTGGAAGAGTTCTGAGAATAGGGGGGGCATGAGTGTGCCGCGTTTGGTGCAAACAGTCCCAGTCTCCGATCTCATCACCGAGATGGGTGATAGGAGGCAGCAGCAAACATGTCAAGACTCACGACTCCTCGGGTCTTTTTTTCTTCGAACTGAGTCAGCTAAGTTCCAACCAATTTCAAACTTCGACAGTTTCTCCAAACTCGGGCTGTTGCGATTGGAGAATCTCCGAACTATGGCCGGTTGTCTCCAAACTCAGTGAGGGCAGTTTGGAGATACTCCAAACTCAGGCTCGCAATCTCCAAACTCTAGCCTCTAGCCAATTTCTCCCAACTCAACCTGAGTTTGGAGAAACTCAGGCTCGAGTTTGAAGATTTCCAAATTCGGGTCCGAGTTGCCAAACCCAGGCCCGTTTTCCCCCAACTCAGGCCCATTGGGGCCTGCGTTCACTCTTTAAAGTCAGGCTCCTTTTCTCCAAATTCACCTTTTTTTTCTCTAACTCAGCCCGTTTTCTCCAAACCGTGGATGACTTTGCAGATTCTCTAAACTGAGGCATGTGTTCTCCCAAAACTCAGCCGAGTTTCGGGAATCTCCAAGCGCACCGCCCGAGGTTGGAGAAAACGGACCTGAGGTTGGAGATTCTCCAAACTCGAACTGAGTATCGAATTTTGGCAAACTCGGGCCCGAGTTTGGAGAAAAACAGCTCGAGTTTGGAGATTCTCCAAACTCAGGCCCGTTTTCTCCAAACTCGGGATGAGTTTGGAAATTCCCCAATCTCGGACAGATTTTCTCCAAACTTAGGCCTGCATTCGGAGATTCTCCAAACTCAGTTCGGAGATTCTCCAAACTCAGTTCGGAGGCTCCAAACGCCGGCCCATTTCCTCCAATCTCGGGTGCGCTTGGAGATTCTGAGATTCTCCAAGCTCGGGCCCGAGTTTGGAGAAAACGGGCCTGAGTTTGGAGATTCTCCAAACTCGGGCCCGTTTTCTCCAACCTCGGGCTGAGTTTGGAGATTCTCCAAACTCCAAATGTCAATGCGTTTTTCTCCTGCAGAACGCTTATTTTGCCTGAAAATCTCCATCCGAACGCTTCTTTTCTCCACCAAAACACTTGCCGAACGCTTCTTCGCGTGTTTCACAAAATGAGTTTGGAGAAAACGGGCCTGAGTTTGGAGATTCTCCGAACTCGGGCCCGTTTTCTCCAAATTCGGGGTGAGCTTGGAGATTCTCCGAACTCGGGCCCGTTTTCTCCAAACCCGGGGTGAGTTTGGAGATTCTCCAAACTTAGGCCCGTTTTCTCCAAACTCTGAGTCCAAACTCTGAGTTTGGAGATTCTCCGATCTCGGGCCAGTTTTCTCCAAACTCGGGGTGAGTTTGGAGATTCTCCGAACTCGGGCCCGTTTTCTTCAAAATCGGGGTGAGTTTGGAGATTCTCCAAACTTAGGCCCGTTTTCTCTAAAATCGGGGTGGGTTTGGAGATTCTCCGAACTCGGGCCTGTCTTCTCAAAACTCGGGCTGAGTTTGCGGATTACTCGGGCCCTGTTCCTCCATTTTCCAAACTCGGAGAGCTTCTTGGCTTCGTACAAAGAGTTTGGACTAACCAGGACTGACAAGTCTTCTTCAAACTCAGGCCCATTTTCTGCAAACTGGGGCCTGCGTTTGGAGATTCTCCAAACTCAGTTCGTTTCTCCAAACTCGGCCCCAGCTTGGGATGATTCTCCAAACTCAGTCAGGGCTGGTTTCTCCAAAGTCGGCTTGAGTTTGGATAATCTTCACGCTCAGGCCCGTGTTTTGCAAACTCGCCTGGCTTTGCGTGCGAAGACGCGTTTCGCAAATGTATTGGTGGCGACTATCCGCTTTTCGATGGAAATTGAATGGGTCAAACAAGGGTTTTGTTTGGTCAATATATAGACAAGACTAAGTTCGGCAAATCTCGAAACTCAGGCTGAGCAAAGGCCAACTTTAGGGACCCCCAAATTGATTTCTCAGGGCTGAGTTAGGAGAATGCGAGCTTAAGTTTGGAGAGCTTGGAACATCTCCAAGCTCAGGCTAAGGCGTGGAGAAAAGCAAGCCTAAAATTGGGGCACATTCCAAACTCATCCATATTTTTGGAAACCTGAAAGCGAACTTACAAGCAAGCATTATCCTCAGAACTCTGCAACTCCCAAGGAAAAGGGCTGCGCCATCGTGATGTAGTCACTAGCGCTTCCCGAGACAAGCTTGCTAAGGTCCGCATGTTTTGGCAGAGATTTGGAGTCCTTGTTTGGCGTGTGTTTTGCTGGCACAAGGCTTGATTGGCCCGGATAGCATTGAAACGGCATGCTGTGGCATGGTCCAAGCGGTCTTGGCGTGTGGGGTTACCGGTTGAAAACCTTTGTGTTTTTTGGTTGCAAAAACGTAATCTGAGCTTCTTGAGGCACTGGAAGAGTGGTGGTGTGCGCGCAAGTTAACATACCAGGGCCATCTATTTTTTTCCGAAAGGCCATCTATGAACGCAAGCGTTCTGGGCAAAAGGGGTCCATAGAAAACGACAGACCCATGTGCAAATCCTTCATTTGTTGAAACGTGTTGTATTAGTGGCTTGCATAAACAGTTGGTTAGAACTTTGTGAAAGATGGCAAAACCTCCCAATTTGGCGGATATCTTCTTTACAGACAAGGGAATAGTGACATCTAACCACCCCAAAAGAATCCCTTGGTTGATTTTGATCACGGGGGTGTCCGGCCCGTGTCAGCGCACTTCCCCCTATTAATCCGAAGGGATTACCTGCACTCTGACTTCGAAGTCTTTGGAGCTATTGAGAAGGCTATGAAGGGGAAAACGTGTCGACAAGGCCCTCCTCCCTGGGAAGCTGACGAAACTCATCTTAAGCTATAGCCATGCGCCCAGCATTTGGCTTGGGGATTTCCAGGAACCAAGGCCCCTCTCTGTTTTAAGTGTTTTTTTTGTTTTTCTTTTTCTGCCGTTTTCCCGAGCTCGTCCTGTTTGGCATGCGAAGGATTCCAGCACGCCGGACGTTTGACATGGACAGAAACCTCCATCATGCAGTCGGGCCCCGACTGCCGCGCGCGGGCCGATTTCACTGCCAGGCCCTGGCAAAGAACGCTCCGGAGGTGGAAGGCGCAATCGCGCCTCGCGGCTCCTGCAACTTGAGAGCCAAAGTCTGCTGGAACCCCGCCAGGATCTCCCAAAAAGGGGGAGCCCCTTTTTGGTTTTCACGTCAATTTGCAGAGTATCGTTGCAAAGACCTGTTGAGACCTGTTTACTGTGAGCGGATTTCATTGCAGGCCTTTTTTTGTGGGGCCGAATCCAATTGTGCATGGCTATTGGGGCAAATCGGGCGCAACCCCCTTTATGTGTGTGGCTTTGTGACAGGCTTTGTGTGTGTGTGAGTGTGTTCAGGCCTCCCTGTTTCTCTCGAATTGCAAACGCCGATCAACTGATTACGCATTGAATTTGGAGCTGTGGATCTTAGCTGTTTGTTTCCCTTGTTTAGCTTTCCACAGATCCAACGCAAGCCCTAGAATGAAAGAGGCTGTCAAACAAGAGTTTGAGTTTCCCCTTCTTGTGTGAAACTTATGGGCCCGTGATGTAGGCAGAAGCATCTCCGGGCTCGACCTGACCTTTCGCAACAGAAAACCTGTCTCGGGTGCACGTTGATGTTTGGATCCTTTGGTTCTCACGTGATCTATGGTTAGTCACGGCCCGAGTAGGTTTTTCTAGCTGAAGTGAGCCTAAGTTTCAGGTGCGCACAGTAGAACTCATGCCAGATTGTGTTCGAGGGAAGCCTCGGATAAAGGAGATATCAGTTCATTCGGGGCCATATGGGCTATATGCTCTTCCAGCATCCCCACTTTCATTGATGAACTTGAAACGGAGGTGGCTTAGGCTCCTCTCTTTGGGTTACCCTTTGCTTGGTGGCGGGGATCTGAGGGCAGCCCAGTTTTGGTAAACCGAACAGGAAGTTCTTTTCAGCCATGGTTCTTTTCAAAAACCAGATCCATTTTCCCAGAGCGCTTGGTGGTTTTCTAGAAAGAAGGATAAAAACAAGAAGGATTTGTTCCTGGAAAGAATGGCGGACCCGAAGGTGAGCCAGCCGAGCCGGGCAACTTGGGGAGGTGACCAAAACACTGCGTGGAGCAGATGGCGTCTAGGTCCCCCAGTAGAGCCTCTTTACCCTTGTTTTGGGGGGAGGGTTCTCCTACTAAAATAGACTACAGAAACAAGGGTACCCTTATTCTACCCTGTCTACTGGAGGACCTAGGCGTATATCTTTGGAACCGCTGCCGTTTTCCATGGCCATAGCATGGAGCCCAAACTCCCAAGCCCCCTCCAATAGAAAAACATTGCCCGGCCATCAGGGTTTCCTGAAGAACCTGCAAAGACAAGTCTCCGCCCCTAGCCCCCCCCAGCGCAGCTCCCCCCCAACCCCCACCCAGCCCCCCCGTGTTGGGTTCCCCCGATCCGAAGCTGCAGGCTTGCGACGGAAGGACAAGAAGGCCAAGCGCCGGCGCTGGGGGTTGTGGCTCAGTCTTTTGAGGGTTGTTATCTTTTGGAGCAGCTTCAAAGGGAAATCATGAAGGAAGACCACAATTTTGGGGGTACCCAACTTTAAGATACACATATATATATATGTATATATATATATATGTTTATTTATTTATTTATTGGGTCATAGCTGGCCAGCCAAACATTAGCAGTTTTCCAAAAGGGAAACCAAAAGGGCATAGGGAAACGCGAACTTGTCCAGACTATGCAGCACCTGGCTGAATTGCATAACACAACATAACACATTTGCAGATTTCGTGGAAGGAAGCCACAAGGGTGTGTTGTTTTTTGCTGCCCTATGCAGAGCACCCACTGTAGCCCCCCCCCCCCTTCCCTCGCCCCCGCCTGCTGAAGCATCCTTACTCGGCGGGGGGGGGGGGGGTCAAAGACATGCCCTAGGCTTGGGAGAGATGGCTTGTGGAAGGTGAGTTCTCACTTCCAGAATTGTCTGGACTTTAGTCACTTTGTGGGAAGACCATTTTAGTGGCCAACAAAATGTCCTGACTTTTGGGCCATGCACTGGGGAAGTGAGACGTGAGCTTCTCTGAAGACGGCTTGCTGAAGGATTGGCTGAGTGACGCCATAGCTGTCGCTGGCTCTGAAAACGGTCATTCACGTCTTAGTCCCAATGTATTTGATCATAAATAGATAGACATATATATATATATATATATACAAAGTTGTCCTGTTCTAGTCCCTCTTCAAAAACCACATCAAGCTCAACACATCTTGACCCACGACCCAAAAGGACATTCAAAACTTCCGCAGGCCGAAGCGGAGCAGCTCCGCATGGATCTCGCGAGTGGGGGGCCGAAGGGACCAATGGATCGTAAGCTGAGTTGTTGGAAGAAGGATTCCGACCCTTGAGCCAGCGTCACTGGCTAGGTCCCCCAGTAGTGCCCTTTTATCCTTTTTTATTTTATTTTCGGGAGGGTTCCCCTACTAAAATAGACTACAGAAAAAAGGGTAACCTTATACTAACCTCTCTACTGGAGGACCTAGCTGGGCTGGGCACTTCTCAGTCAGGTTTGGGGGAAACAACCTCAGCTATGGCCTGAACCCACGCATTTTTGCGGCTGAACCTTCTCGATGTGTTTCATCGAGTGCATATGCTCTTCTATGAAATGGCTGTTCCAACCCTATCTTATGATACGTGTTCAGTAAGCTTTAGAGTTCCAAACCCCCAAAAGGACAGTGAGTATGGCAAGTCTGTCTCAAGGCGTGTTTGGGAAATCCGGTCAGCCCTGATGCTGCCTGAAGGTGCATACATGGGAATTGCAACAACCGAGCTAAGCATTACCAGACTGAGTCGACATGCTTGGCCGGCAAAGCCATTTGACTTCCGGCATCATGCCCCTTGACTAACCCGCAAACAAACGATTTGGGGCTCTAAGTTTGGCCACAGGGGGTAAGCTGAAAGATGCCTTATTTCCTGTTCGGATTCATTCCAGTTCGATCATGTCGTTGTGCACGAAAGCAATGGTGCTAGAGAGCGGCCACGCAGATGGTAAGGAAGGTCCCAGTTCAATGGACCGAATCTTCCAAGCCTTGGAGAGGCTGAACATGTCCAAGATTTTAGGGGGAAATCGGCATCCAATTGCATTTTCAGCTCTAGGATATTTTATTTGACAGGAAAAGGGCCTGCCTTGACCCTGAAATGACATAGAATAACTTGGCGTTTTTGTTTCTTAGGTGGTTCGTAGAAATACTTGGCGAGTCAGTCGGTACTGGGGATGACTTGTCGTTCTGTCCAATAAGCAGGGATTTTTGTCGAGAGAAGAGCGCTGTTGTCACTGATAATGTCAATGTGCATGAATGATTATGCTTGTGTTCAAAAGCCCCCCAACAACACACCCACACACACACACACACCACACACACCACACACACACACAAATACAAGTTTTCGGGATTTGCGGGCGTTTGTGGGTTTTTGCCTGCGTTTTGCAGGTTGTTGCTGGGGTTGTGCCTGCAAAATCAGGCGAGGACACCTGCAGCATGCACTGACGGGCCCATCACAAAGCCTTGCAAGCAGTAACAGGTAGGTGGCCTTGTATGGCGGGCTACATGCAGCTGCTTTCGTTTGAGCAAACCACGCAATTCTCAGCGTTTTTGTCGTCCACTAAGAAAGCACATGAAACGCAATCGAAAGTCAAAACTACAAATCATTCTTTGTCGTTGTGTGGGTTTGACTGGGTGTGCCGGATCTTTTTGATACCAGTTTCTTTTGCAAGGAGGCCAAGCGGAAACCCACCCACCCACCCATTTTGCGATTTCCGTTTTTTGTGTGACAAACTAACATGCGATTGTTCATTTCCGCTTCCAGGAAAAGGCAGCTGTTGAAATGCCAAATGACACCTAATCGACTTCAGACTCTACTTGGATCCACTTTTTGGATGGTTTTGAAGGAATGCCGAAAGAAACCAAACGGCCTGTAATTGAACCAGTCATTGAGTTGCAGAGGTCACGAAACAAGCCCGACTTGGTGATACAGCATCCAGTTTGGAGATGTTCCCGGCGGTGTCCCACTTGATAAACTCAGAGCAACCTGGGTGGCCCAGGTTTTTCCAGGTCCCCCAGTAGTGCCCTTTCTCACCCCTTTTTTGGTTGGGAGGGTTCCCTATCAAAATAGACTACAGACAAAAGTTGGTACCCATATTCTATCCTCTCTACCGGAGGAACCAGTTTTTTAGCTTTTGCAAAAGACGCGGAAAGGGAATAGGTATTCATGTTTCAGACCTATTCAACACCTGGACGAACTCTTGGATCTCTTTGGAATTGATTGCTATGTTTTGCATGTTGAGGTAGAACTGGGAGTTCGAATCGAAATCGAAACCACCAATCAGGGATGGGGTGAAGAGGGGCACTTCGAAGATCAATTGCGTAGGAACTCACCTGAACCCTTGGTAGGACCCTCCGGTATGAACGCCTAGTTTTATGTTGCGTTCTCTGCTACTCCCGGCTTAATTTGGCGGGGAAACTGTTCCCAGAAAGATGTCCGACACAGAGTCCTGTGGCTTCACATACTGCCTACAATGAGAGTTGGGCAGAAGGAGGACTGGAGTTTTGAGGGGTCTTAAGTGGTCTTAGTTCCTTTTCCAAACATGGCAAAAGCATCTCCAGCGACATATCTTTACCGATCGAGGTCAGCTCATCGCGCCCAACGATGACGAGCGCAGGATGGGGCTGTTTCGTTTTGGGGGGGGGGGGTGGGGAGCCTTTTTTTGGGTTGGCTTCCAGGGAAACCAAAAAGGTGATTTTTTGTTGGGGGGGGGGGGGGGGAAGTTGTTGAGACTCATGATTTCTTTTCAATTTGTTCATAAGCGACCTTTTTAACTTTTGGCTTTCCATGTTTGGTCCACTTTGAGGAGAGGTCCCACAAGGTTAATCTGAATATGTACATATATATATATATATGTATACATGTCTAGGTGCTTTGGGCAACTGAGTTTTCGGGTTGGCTTCAAGGGGACACCGAGAAGGATGCCAAGCATTACATAGGCCTTCCCCAACCCAAGGCGTTGAACCCTGAAATGTGCGTTGCTTCGTTTGACTTCCCTCGGAAGACCGGGCTGGAAGTGGGGAATGTGGGGGACGCGTTCGACCGTGTCAACTTTCAGTATTCGGTGGTCAGGGTTGCATTTAAGGAAGGGGGTTGTCCTAAGGGCGGCTCCCCGAAGTACACTCATTCGCTTGCGATGACGAAATGAAGCCAACGTGGCCGCAAGTGCCGCGAATTAGGCTCGCTGACCTCCAAAGAGGCACATACCGCCTGCCGACCTTGGGATCTGTTGAAGGGGTTGTCACACCAACAGCTTGCACGCATTGTTTTCCGTCCTTGCGCGGGTTTGCGCAAATGTCAAAACACGCCGATCGAGGACAATAAAACTATGAAATCACATTTTGTTTTGCTGACGGACCTTGTGTCGCGACAGTCCCGACACCCCCCCCCCCGGCCGTATGCAAAAACGTTTTTTTGTAAACAGCCTGGCTGTGGGTCGCCCCCCCCCCCCCCGAATTTAAGGAATTGTGTGGGGGGGGGGGGGGAATCCTTAAATACAACCCCCCCCCCCGCCGAATTTAAGAAATTGTGCCGGGGATTCTTAAATACAACCCCCATTCCCGTGCCACCCAAAAGAATGAGAGATGGGGAAGGGGAAAACCTGAAGTACACCGGGGCGGGGTTGTATTTAAGGATTCCCCCCCCTCCCCCCTTCCCACACAATTCCTTGAATTCGTGGGGGCGGTGCGACCCACAGCCAGGCTGTTGCAAAAACAGTTTTTGTATACCTCCGGCGGGGGGGGGGGGGGGGGTTGGGACTGTCGCGACACAACGTCGGTCAGCAAAACAAAATGTGGTTTCATAGCGTTCTTGCCCTCGATTGGTGTGTCTTGACATTTGCGCAAACAATAGTCCCGCGCAAGGACAAAACCAATGCGTGTAAACTGACAGATCCCATAGATACATATATATTTATATTCATATACACATATGTGCCCAATTGCAAATGGGTCAATTATCAATTTGAATGTCCCGACGGCCTCACGGCATGATTTCAACGAAATGCCTGAACCGCTTTTTTAAACGCACCCCCCCTCAACAAGCACCCCTAATACTGAAAGTTAACATTTGACCGGTTGCGATGCTCGCAAAATTCGGGATTCTCGCCAATACAAACTCACCAACATCTAGGTCCCCCAGCTGGGTGCCCTTTCTGACCCCTTTTTTGGTTGGGAGGGTTCCCCTATTAAAATAGACTACAGAAAAAGGGTACCCGTATTCTAAGCTCTCTAGTGGAGGACCTAGAACATGCATCCCCACCCTCCTACAAATGGAACTGCGGGAGGGGGGTGACCAATGAAATTTTGTTGCTTGCTCCCCTGCAGGGCATCCCGAAACCGAAATCAACCTCACCTTTTCGCAGATTCGTTTCAGGATGCAAACTGCGGCTCCGTGTCAAACCAACAAGCAACGCATTGTCCCTTGCGCTTGTTGCCTCCGGGCCCGCAAGTTGGCTTGGCGCTTCTGCCCAGCCCCTCTGGCGAGGGGCTTGACCCGTGAGGCAAGCCACGTCCTCAATCCCAACCAGGGTACTTCCTTGACGATGGAAAATGCCCTTTTTGACTCGTGAATTCGAATTCACGCGGGGGAGAATTGGGAAAATTCCACCGGTGCCTGGCTTGGGGGTTGTCCATCTGACCTGCCAACTACCACCTTTCTGACTTGCCGTGCTGTGGTTGTTTTTCTAAGATGTGCCATGGTCAAAACCACCTTTTGGGTCAACCCCTTAGGTTTAGACAACCATGGCAAGGGTTTTTGTCTAGCGGGGCCAATATGGGCCAATGACCATGACACTGTTTTTTTGGATCACTTGAATTTTCCCCGGTTGGAAGGCAATCTGTGTGTACTGGATGTTTTGCATTTTTCCAGGGGACTTAAGCAAATGCCTAAGGGTTGATTCCTCTTCCATTCTTTCCAACCATCGTTCTTTTCGACATCCGGATCCGTTTCCCTGTGTTTCCGGAGGTTTTTTAGAAAGATTCGGATCCCTGGGTTCAGAATGGAAATGGAAGGTAGCACTCGTCCAACCCGCTTGCTTTTGTGGAGGGTGAATTTAGGACTTGAAACCACCCATGTCCCCTAGACGGAAAAATGGAGGTTAAACCAACTCCCAACCCAGTAGTTATAAGCAAATGGGGGTATACATCTAGGTTTCCCAGTAGTGCCCTTTCTCACCCTTTTTTGGGGGAGGGTTCCCCTACTCAAAAAGACAGAAACAAGTTGGTACCCTTGTTCTAAGCTCAAACTACTGGAGGACGTAGACAACCAACTGCGAAGTGAGGAGACTTGCCCAGACCTTTCGAGAGCTCTGCACGGAGCTCGACGGCCGAGAGCTCGGGAAGCAGCTCTAGGAGCGAGAAAAGGCGATTCAAAGACAGGGCTTGGTTTGGATATGCTGCTCTCTTTGTGTTTGTTGGCAGGTTGGGGGTACTCTTGGGGTGCCCATCGGCCAAGTCATTGAAGAAAGCAGGTGTTGTCGGTTTGGCGCATGGGACAAAGCCACATCAGCCTTTGGGGAAACCAAGCGGGTGGCGGCTGATTTTGAGGATACTGTTTGGTCCTGACACTGGGTTGATCACAGTCCCCTTTTTGCAGGTTCGGGGGGGGGAGTGGGGTACAACTTGTATAAGCTTCATTAGGGGTATCACAGCTGTCCTTTTTGCAAGGCGAAGAGCCCTGGTGTAAGAGGGAAACCAAAGGGGAAGCCACCATTTTGGCGATTCCCCTGAGAAAAGACAACCAAACTCTTTTAGGTTAAAGATCGTTCAAGCGTTGACTTGTTGTCGTTATCCATTCACAGTTTTAAGACCCTGGCTGAACCAGGGCTCCTAGCCCTGGTTGAACCAGGGCTCCTAGCCTTACAAAAAAGGACAGCTATGATACCCCGAATGAAGCTTATATAAGTTGCACCCCCCTTACCCGAACCTGCAAAGAGTGGACTTTCGTGTTTGATTTTTGCGGAGGTCAGTTTGATCAACCCAGTGTGAGGAGAATGGCCCTCGCGCGATTGCTGCCATTTCGTCAAGCTCGTTTGTGCTTGGCCTTGCTAATCCTAAATTACACTGGTACTTTAGTTGCAGATGGTGTTGTTACAAAAAAACACGACGGCTAAGGCTACATGAGAAGGTTTCTGCTCACAAACTGCTATAGACGTCTAGGATGCCTCAGGCATCGCCTCAAACTTCCCCTTCGTTCATGTCACGCTGCCAATCAGTTCCCCAGCCGAGGCCGATGCGCGCGCGCCAGGCGGAAAAGGGCTCACCGGGAAAACCGGGAAACTGACGGCTATCTTTTTTGCAAGCCAATGAGCAAACAAAGCAGTTTCTTCCACGGGGTTTCAAGCACTGCGCCTTTTGGTTGCGACTATATCTACAGGGTAGTTAGTCGAAGGCAGAAATTCCCCGGGGGGGGCATTTCCTAGATATCATTGCCAGTCTTGTTGAGCATGTGAGAACATGCTTGTGTAGAACCACCCGCCAGCCCAAATATTACAGTTTTTTTTTTGCGGCATCCGCTAGCTCAAAAAAATCCTGCAAGGGGAAGAGTGGTTGAGTGGTTAGCATGTATCTGTTGTTTACCGCAAATCCATGATATACTCGCCATGCTCCGCTTGGAGCAAGCCACAGAGAGGCAACTTGTTTGCGCACTGGAACCCTCGGACTGATCAACCCCACTCTACAAATAGGACACGTGTTCCCCTCCACAAGTGATTACACATGAACAGGGACTGATTGATCCGAGGTTCCGGGGCGCCGATGAACTTGATCTGCATGCTTGGCTGCATGTAGATGAGTTAAACTCACAAGGCCAACACTTAGCACTGCCCACTAAATTATTGAGCACACCCTCTAAGCGAAAAACCTTTAATTTTAAAGGGTCAAATGGGAAAACCTGGTTTTTGGGCAAGTTTTGGAAAAATAAAGGTTTTCCAGGGAAAAACCTGGTATTTCACTTTCATCCTTTATTTTGGCACTTTTCGCAAGCGAAATGTCGGATGTTTGAAGAACAGAGCAAAGGTGCCGGATCTCGCGCAGGTGTTGAAAGGAGCCGCCAGGTTTCTTTCACTGCCAAATTGTATATTGGGTTTCTAGATGTTTTTTGGGAATCTCTTGTGGTTTCCTTTTGTACCGCCAAGTGCGCGATAGCCCCCTGCTCCTCAAGATTGGAGCTCAAAAGGCAGGGGTAGACGCGAGGGCGTGGTCGGGTCGACCAAAACTCAACAATGCAGCGGGACAACCAACTTGAATGTACAAGTGTGCAGCTCACTACATGACCATCAGTAGCTCTGCATGATTGACACATCATGCTCATCTTGGTACTTTTTTGTATTTTTAAAACATCAGGCAGTATCCCAAAGTGACACTTGCATTCTTTACTCGGCTCGGCGCACAAGCCAAATGCCAACAAAGCTGGCCTCAGGCCAAGCCGCACTGTCTTCCAGCACCTAACTTTGATTCGATGGGAGCACAGTCCAAGCCAAACATGTTGCGTAGTACGTGCTTGTGCCCGAAAACCTTCGGACGTTCTACCGCAATGTCATACAAAACCAGTTCGCTGCTCGCGCAATCTAGCTGTGTGCCCGCTTTTCTTTGCTGGAAAGCTTCTGGAAGGCCGAGCGCGTGCGAAAAAAAAGGAAACCCATAAAAATCCCATACGAATCCCATAAAACTCCCATACAAACCCATATTTTCCCGAAAACCAGGTTTTTCCTAACCCGTACAAAAACCGTACAAATCCCATAAAAATACCGTACTCTAGGGGTGCCAGGGTTCCCCTGTGTTTTGAGTTGGGTTCCCGAGCTGCGTTCCCATCTCTGAACAAACCCGTACGCAATTTATGGGATTTTCAGCCTCTGCTCAAGCAGCTTTCCAGGCCTGAGCTGCCCGAAATAAGCTTGCAAGGTGACCCTGCGAAAAGCAGTCATTCATGTGTTCGTCCCACGCGTCTTTTACTACCTGCTGTCCAGTGTTCAAAGTGGGTTAGGTTCTGGTTAGGTTCCTTTGGCTCGCTCCAAAAATGATGTTCCTGCGACGTTTTAGACAAGCCTGCGAGAAGTTCCGGGATCAATGCTCTAGCACGGGACTTGGTTGTCAAACAGTGAGCATTTGCAAGACGGCCCTCCAGATGTATCCGACGCGAGCTTTACGCAAACAGTCCCAAGCAGATTGCTCAGTGCCATACAAAATATGTATACACGTGCAGCTACCGCTTGCGGTAAACTGGGACTACTTGTTGCCCTTGTCAGAAAGTTCATATTCCAATGCTGTTTTAAACTTCCCGAGCCACGATCTGGGAAGCCTTCCCAACAAATTGTGGATTGACCATTGTTTCGAGTTCAGCAGGTGATTTGCAACAGGTGCCATGCTCAATGAGCTTGCTTGGATGGGATCGCTACGGCCGTGGAGCGATTGACTGGATGCAAGAGAGCCAACAAAAGGATTATATTGAGGGAACCACAATCATAACTCACGCAAGACCATTCTGATTACAACGCAAAAAGTCAAAACCCGGTATTTTATAGAAAAACCCAGATATTTTGCCATACCTTTAAAATAAACGGATATTTGCTTAGAGGGCAGACTTTCACATGTCCCTGTCCCCTCTCGAACAGCGGTCCAAGTTCAACTTTGGTGCATCATTGGTGCTTGGATCTGTGTTTCAGGATCCAAAGGCAAGGCTTCCCGTTCGGGCCATCGCATCGACGTGCCTAAACCGTGCAGGACGCGACGACGCACTTCCAGTTGTGGACTAGAGCCACCAGAGGAGCGGGTCGAGGCTCCCAGTGGTGGAAATTCACACGACTTTGTTTGGCAAAAGGTGAGATGTGGTTCGGAGGTTGGGAGGTGTACATCCGGACCTTGGGTGGAAATGAGCTTAAAAGCAGTAGGAATTGTTGTCCCACATTTTTGTTTTAAACAAAAAGACAAGTTGCTGGCTACAGCTGATTTCAGATCGCAGCCGGGGACAGCGGAGAAGCGCAAAGAGCCGAGCGGTACCGTTAGCGTGTTGCTCTTGGCAAGCCTCCAAACAACTGTCCAAGAGAGATACTACAAATTGATATCAACCACGCAAGCGATCATTTCTAGAGATTCTAAATGGATCTCCGTTGGGGGAATTATTTCTAGAAGGATCTCCTTTCAGCTCGGAAGGCTCTCAGAAGAACCCGTTTGAGAATCTGTGGTCTTTCTAGCTCTGTTTTTTTTTCTCTTCCGGCAACACGGGAGTCAACTACATTCTCCTTTGGTGGCTTGACAGGTGTACTAGGTCCCCCAGCCAGGTGCCCTGTCTTTTTCCCTTTTTGGTTGGGAGGGTTCCCCTACTAAAATAGAGACAAGAGAAAAAAATCGGGTACCAACTTCTTCTAACCTCTCTACTGGAGTACCTAGTGGCATGGTCTCTGAAGAGGAGCCTGGGAGCCGCTGGATTGCACGGAAGCCAGTAGAAGCCGCCAGTTCAGCTCGGCGGGGCTTCGGTTTTGGCGCATCGAGCGGACGGGCCACTGGCGAGAGGAAGGGTCGCTGTCGATTCGGTTCCCTTTAATCAGGTTACAAGGTCCCCCAGCTAGGTGCCCTGTCTCACCCCTTTAGTAGGGGGAGGGTTCCCCTACAAAACCTACTAGTGTCCAAGGGCTTCCCTTTTTAACCCCAATGAAAAGAAGGTTTGGCCCCCCCCCATTGCTTTAGTGGATTTAGATGATGGCAATCCTCAGGCAAAAGCAGTGGTGATCATGAGAGTCACAATCAAAACCCGGGTAGATGAAGGATCCCAACGAGAAATAGCTGCGGCCGCCTTCTAAATTCTTTACATGGCTCTGGGTAGACCAGCTTAATACCGGGCTTTGATTGTGACTCATATGAACCTCCCCTTTGTTTTAGGGGTTCGGTTCTGCGCAAAGAGCTTGACATCGGCCGGCGCATGGGAACAGCTCCCTCGACAGGAGACTTCTGCCGCATCCGACGAAGCCTCTTTGAGCGGTTGGCTGCCAGAGACCCAGCGAAATCAGTGATCTTTCTGGGGAGAGGGGAGGGGCTCTCCGATTCTGGTGGAATCTTGTTTGTGGATTCCAGTTGAATCTTTTCGGGAGGGGGGGAGGTCCCTGGTCTCTCCGATTCGCCATGGGTGGAATCTTGTTTGTGGATTCCAGTTGAATTCTCTCTGCTCGGCGCTGTTAATTTCTCTCTGCCTGGTGCTGTTAGTTTGACCGGACTTCGGCTGTCACTTTTTGGAAAAAACGCTGGAAGTTCCTCCAACGGGACCTCTGCTTGCCCTGTTCAGACAATTTTTGAGCTGCGAGTGCGAAATCTGGATCCAGTGAAAGACCCCATGCTAGCCGCAGTTGCGCAAAGCCATCCTTTTTGGACCGTTCGGATTTCCAACTTTGCTTCATGTTTGGTCATATCGCCAAAACTGGGTTAGACTGAGGATGCATTTTGCATTTGTTCCAGTGACTCAAAGGGAAGCACACAATAGAATATACATTCTACACCTGGGCCTAAGTCTAACCATGAAAAGGTCAACCTTTTCTTTCCAGCTCCTTGGGAAAGTGAGTAGAAGGGGCCCTTTCACCTTCCATTCGGTTAAGAATATGTCATATTTCAAAAACCTGTTGGTTTTAGAGGGAACCCATCACTACTGGACATATGTTCTCATTTTTTCCAGGGGACTTAAGCAAATGGACGGGCGAAGAGCTTGAATGAGCTTGACCTGTTGAGGTCAAGCTTAATAGGGTCGGGGGCCTCGGATCTGCTGGTCTCAGATCTGATTGGGAGCCTCCGGTTTGCAGCGCAGGTGATAGGTGCCCTTTTTGGGTCAATTCGCCAGAAAAATAGATGGCCCTGGTGTACATGGTGGTTTAATCATCTACCAGGGCCATCTATTTTCCACAAAGAGACCCATGAACGCTGCTGCGAACTACGCAGCCACAGGTGGGATGTTTTTTGCTTTTGCAGATGGAGTGTTAAAGGGCTGACTGGGTGCAAGCAGCTCTGTGGAAACCAGTGTGTTTGACTCAGGAGCCCTGTCTTTGGTCGTTTTGCTTGGATGTTAGGACTGTAACTGTTTGCAAACAAATGGATTTTCCATTAAACCACTAAAAGTCAAACGTTTAGCAGGGGAGCAGCAAGCAACCGAGCTGTGGTCATCCCTTATTCCCGTTTGGTGCAAAGGCTACTCCAACCTAACAGCTGGATTGGCACCCGGAATCTCACGTCAAGCAGTAGATGCCCAATTTGCCAAGTAGGTCTGATGTGGTTGATGACTTGACGCATTTGGGGATTCCACCGCAGACCAGTGACATCCATCTATTCAATCTCCCACGCTTCAATAAGTTTCTCTTTCAAGTGTCCTCTGCAAGGGGCCCAGCCTTTGCCCAAGAACTTCATGGGCTGTTCCCACCGGATTTTCCATTGCATCGGAAGCCGCAGAGTCTAAGAGGGTCGAAGTCCATTGGGTGAGACACGTGCCCGCCAACGGGGGCAGGAAAAGCAGGGCTCCTTGAAAGATACAGTTTGCCCAGTTGAAACATGGTTTTCTCCACCAAAATAAAGGGAACCCACCATGTACAAGGCAATGTTCAGGTGTATAATGCAAGCCCTGAAAAGGTAAGCCCAGGCAACACTTTGGTGGTGGGGAACGGGGGGTCTTGGACTTGATACCGTGGACGAAATCCAATTCGCACCATGGAGCAGCCATCGTTGGTTTTGTCAGAGAATTGCCATTCCAGGGTTATTCCTTAGGTGAGCCAGAATCACCGATTCGGGTGGATGAAGATTAGTAAGGGACAATCCCAACCTTCCATTTGCTTCAGAATAGTTTTATTTTGCCATGTTGGTTTTAAAGGGAATCTATCACTATTGGACATTTTTATTTTTTTACAGGGGGCTTTAGCAAATGGAAGCAACCATGAATAGCTGCGGCCGCATTCTTAATTCTTTACATGGCGGTGCGAAATGGAGTTCGTCCATCCACAGTAGCAACCCTTTCGGAGTCCTGTCGGCGGTGCTCTGTCCGGGTGGGTGGTAAGTGAGGACCTGCGGCGGATGGAAAGCGAGCTTTCTTCGGGTCCCTCTCAAAGCAGGGGCTCTTTCAGGTGGGTTCCTTCAAGTCTCTTCAAAATCAACGGCGACGACCATTTTTTGGCGGGGAATATTGTCATTCGTTGAAGTCAGCAAAATTCCAGTCATCTTCTGACTCGTGTGATCCGCGGGGTGAATTTGAAATTGCCTTTTAGTGGCAGTTTTGCTGGATGTTCACAACTTTCAATTCACTACCCCTAGGCAAATGGACAACACAAGCCTTTTACACATATTCTATATATATATATATATACACATTTGTATTAAAACATGTTATAGCTACTGTATGACGGCTGGTGTTTCTTCTGTTTCATGTTGCTTCTCAGTGTGCTGGCTTTATCAAACTAAACATAGTTTCTGCATTAAGCAGTTCAATGACAATTTTGAGGTATGAGTTTTTGAGGTACACAGATTTATATACCAACTGCACAAGGGGAGCATGCTGCCTTACCAGCTTATAGTGGTGTATATGAGCATCCATACCTCCAAAACCCCGTGCCTGGAAATGCCCTTGAACAGTCGAACCCTTCCGATTGTATGGGTTTTCCCCTTGTACGGGCAACTCTATGGGTTTCCCCCTTGTCCAGGCGAGGGAAGTTTTGTACGGCTCGGTTGCAGCTAGGATTGAGGGTTCTGGATCGGCCAAGCCTCCATTTTCAGCTGCACATTGGGGTTGCTGCCCTTCTTTTCGCCTGATGCGGCCATCCAGTCATACACTAGGTCCCCCAGTAGTGCCCCTTTTCACCTTTTTTTGGGGGAGTGTTCCCTACCAAAATAGACTGCAGCAAAAAGTTGGTACCCACTAATTCTAACCGCTCAAATCTGGAGGACCTAGTGCATTGTAGGGAGGGAAACAAGATCCGCACTGAGGCGAGATCGGTTTCGAGCTTAGCATCGAGGATCAGGGAAGCGGGGGTTGCCTTGTGACCTTTTGGGAAAAGGGATCCCTCAAAGGAATTTCTACCATATTGCGTGTGCCTAGTTGTGACTAGGTTGCGCCACTTATAAGTCAGTTGGGTCCAGCTTATGTTAACTCAATTATAAGTTACTTAATGGGCTGTTCGCAGTTCAATTGCATCTCCAGGTATTGGTTTTGGAGGTATGTGCTTGTGTACCAGCACTACAAGCTTTTATGGCAGCACATACCCCGGTAAGTTGTATATAACCTCCATACCTCTAGACACTTCAAGACATAATTGATGAAGGGCATTTCAATATGGTTTCTACACTTTCAGACATCTCGTGATTTTCGCAGTCAAAAGGCAAGCCCCGAAGGAAACTGCGGATGAGTTAAACGCATGCAACCTTTGAACATATGAGTTATGCTGTGCACATTTCCGGGAATGAGGGGATAGTGCACATTTTGGTGAAACCAGGCCTCCACTTTTCGTTTATCGCCATTTTAGCAGAACTGACAGTCATTGGGTTTTAAGTGCGCACCTCACATGTGAGTCCAAACAACTAGCAATCAAAAGGGTATCCAATGTGTTCTACCTTAAATTGCTCTCTTTTGCTCATGTCATATCTCGGTTGCCCAAAGCCGACCGTTTGACCCTTTGGTTTTCCCATGTTGTCCCCGAAAGGTGAACCTGTCATGGGGTCCAGCCTGGCCAACTGAGATATATCACCCCTTCTCCTTTCGGCTCCAGCTGCGTTTCACCACCGGACCCCCGCACCGCCCGGACCCCCCGCGGGGTTGCCGCATGACGAAGACCCGGCTCGGGCCGCTGGCGCGACGGCGACTCGACGCGGCGCGCTGGGAGGAGGCGTTTCGGCTCTTCGCCAAGGGGGCGCCTAGACCGAAGTCGGGGAGGTCCCCAGACCTCCAGTGCCGCGGTTTCCTTTTTTTTGTTTTCGTTTTTTTTTTGGGGGGTTCCCCTCAAAACAGGAGCAAAACGATATGTGTTTGTTTTTTGTGTTTTTTTTTTTGGGGGGGGTTCCTCTGAAGTCAGGAAAAAACCAAAGATTTACTGTTTTTTGGTTGGCGGGGAGGGGGGGGAGAGAATCCTTAAGTTGACCTTGTTTTTTTTTTTTTGAGGGGGTCCCTTCAATCAAGAACAAACCAAACAACTATTGTTTGTGTTTTGGGGGGGAGAGGGAATCCTTAAGTTGAGTTTTTTTTTGGGGGGAGGGGCTCGCTTAAATAAAAAAACAAACCAAAGATGAATGGTTTTTTGGTTGGGGGGAGGGAACCCTTAAGTTGAGCATTTTGGTGGTCAAGCATTTTGTTGGCGGGGGGGGGGGGGGGGCGGGATCCCGTAGGTCAAGCACTTATAAAGACCGGGCCCTGTTTTTTCCCCCATGGCAACTGGAGGTGGATTGATTTTACATGTGCCATGTTCATTTACATTTGACATGGCAATATTCCTGCCCCCAAAATGACCATAGTACCCTGTTCCATTTCGTGGCACATATCATTTTTTGGGTGGTTCCCCTAAAGGTCATCCCATGTAAAGCACCTTTTGATCAACCCCCCACATGAGGGCAAAGGCGTGACTACTATTGGGTTGGATCTTTAGACATTAAATTTGGCTTTTGCAGGGGGTCCACAGCAACCAAGAAGGGTGGGGACCTTAGATAGCATTCCTTTGGCCACTTAGGACATTCTGCGGCCTGACCCGGCCGGTGAGCTGCCACTCGGACGGAGCTTTGGGCATCCGACCCGTACGGGGCGTGACAAGGTGTTTAACTTTTTGCTTTTTGGGTGTCCATCTGTCTAGCACTTGTTTGCATGTCAATGGGTGTCAGACATGGACATGGATTTCTACATTGACATGTGTTTAATTGTCAGTGTCCACCTGTTTTCCTTTCAACGGACAATTTTTTGCAGGGTGTCTAAGTCTGGTCAAGAACGTCGTTCCCGTCAAAGGATTGCAGTTGCATGGTGCGGGGGCGTGGTGCAATGCTTGGGCCCCAAGAAGAGTGACGTGTGTCCATTCCACAGATGTTCCCGCAAGGTTGTGGATGGGGAAGCAAACACCCGTGGGCTGGAACCTTGAAGATCGATTTCCTTTTTATCAGGTCCGGGACCATCTTCCAAGGAAGGAGGACCTGTATAAGACCCTTTCTTGCACACTTCTGACCAGGACAATGTATACCAGAAAGCCAGGGGGCAGGATTTACCCAGTTGAAATCCAGGAGTGGCCCAATGTCTGTGATACTACCTTCCTGTGAGTGAAGAATTAAGTCGTCATTGGGAGGGCCGCTTTCCCTGCAGGCCTGGGGAATCGGGAAATGCCAGCACCACCAGTGGCTAATTCTGATTCAAAGACGGGTAATTTCAGGGGCTGAAGGATGGCGTAGACGCAAGTTTCGGGCCCTTTGCCAGAGCCAGCCACGCATGTAGGTGCAGTTGATGGGCGGCGTGTCCCACCTATCCGTAGGGCTGTATCCATCCCAGGTGTAGGATTTTGTCCATCCACAGTATTCTAGGTCCCCCAGCTAGGTGCAACTTTTCTCACCCCTTTTTTGGTTGGGAGGGTTCCCCTATTAAAATAGACTACACAAAAAAGTTGGTACCCTTGTTCTAACCTCTCTACTGGAGGACCTAGTATTGCAGAAGTAGAAAGGCAGCTTCAATGAGGTATGTGGCACTGCTGCGACATGCCGGCCATTCTGTCGTGGATGAAGAGCTGGTGCGGGAATGCTTGCCGGAGAAGA